TAACTGTGATTGGTGAATCGTCGAAGCAGGTTATGTGTTGGTTGCTAAATAAAGTGAGAACTCTTCATTTGCACAACCTTAATATAGTTGAATGTCGTTTGTGGTGGTTGCCAAGATTACCTTGTTTTTGTCCATAGGTCGTTGTCCAATAAAAATTGTGATTCATTCGTTTGGTGCCCTATGACATGCCCCAAAAATTTTGTTGAAAAAGGAGTTGTAAGCTTACCTTGTTTTGTACTCAATTTGCTTGGGGACAAGCAAACGTCTAAGTGCGGGGGAGTGATTCGGGCCTAATTGTACACTTTTTATCCCCGTTTCTCTTTGACGTTTGTGGCAATTGAGCTCCAACCTCAGAGTCTAACAGGTGAAACCAACCTCAGTGTCGAAAGTTGGAAGAAAAAGAGCAAAGGCCGGGCAAAGTGGCGGATTCAGCAGTTCAAGGTCGCTAGGACCATGAACTGGAACCACTAACAGTGAACCAAGAAGCATCCGGAGGGGTTTTTAAGGTTACTGACTCCAAGGATGTTCACGGTCGCTAAGACCGTGAATTGCAACCACAAACTGTGAACCCAAGAAGCGAAGCGGTGCGTTTTGGTTCATTTCACTAAGTTCAAGGACGTGTTTTGATGTTCACGGCTGTGAACTAAGGTCTAAGACCGTGAACTGATCAACGCGGCCGTGAACTGAGGGCTAAGACCTTGAACAGAGCCCGATCTGGGTATAAAAGGAGAAAGGAGCTGAAGGAGAAGAGAGCACTATTTCTAGGTTATTATTTTTCAGAATAAAGGAGGGTTTCTAGTGAGAGATTAGGGTTTCCTCTTCCTATTCTAGAGAGAGAAAGTGCCATTCAAAGGAGGAAGAAGGAGATTGGGCTTGCCCTAAGCTAGAGGAGTGAAGATTCTCACCTCTCAAGGGAGATTCAAGCAAGGAGGAAGGAAGATTGCCATATCTTCATGGTTCTTTCTCTCCTCTTTCTTGTTTACCTTTGCTTAGCTATGGAATAGCCTACCTATTCACCTGGGTGTTTGTAAACCCTAGCTACAATTATGTGAATGCTTGTATGAATTGAATGATTTGTGTGTGGTTGTGTTTAATGTGAATGTGGAGGTATTTTCATGGTGATTGTGTGTGCTATGTTGACCTAGCTTAGAGAGGAGATCTCCTTAGGTTAAGAGGCTCAATAAGAGATGGGTGTTCTTGGGCATTGCATGCCTCCTAGGTTAGTTTAGAGAGGAAACGTCCTTTATCCAAAGAGGCTCAATTTGAGCTGGGTTTCCTAGGGCATTTCATGCCTCCTATTCTAGGTTAATTACAGGCAAACCTCCTATTTCATATTAGCATTTAGGGTTTGGTTGTGGGTGGCAGTCCGAACTCCAATTCGACGGTGTAGTCTAACCATTCTTTAGTCAATAGGTCGAGAGGGTCGTATTAGTGGCTTGGATTGTATCCCATTTCCACGACCTAGAGACTTAGCGGGTAGCCTTGGCTACTTGTTAGACTTCCCTGCGGTTTATAACCCCCTAACCACACACGACCATTCGATCCAACAAGTCATAATTATTAGCTAGGGGGAGCAACACCCGAGTGAAATCTTCTCTCATTGGGACGACCTCGATTTACTTTCCTTGCTTGTTTTTATTTGTAGTTTTCTTAGTTTTAAACTCAAAATCGTTTTGCTAGTTAAGAACCTAAGCGATTGAAGTAGGGGTACATGGAATGGCCCGGGTTTGACGATTAAATACTTGCCCTATACTGCACCCGGCTAGATTTTAAAAACTTGGGCTTTAGTCAGGATTAATTCGCGGTGTAGTTCTGTGCGAGTCAATTTGGCGGCAGATGATTGAATTGATCCCTAAGCTGACCAATCCAAACGGCACCGCCGGAAGGATCAGTAGGAGCATGTCCTAACAGTCTCATACACGTCGCCGACCACTCCTCATCTGGTACGTCTACTATGATGGGCTCACCGTCGATCGATAGACCGGTCAATGTGGCAACATCCTCTAGTGTGATTGTAACCTCACCAAGCGGCAAGTGGAAGGTCGATGTCTCAGGTCGCAAACGCTCTACGAGCGCAGTGGTCAAAGATGCATTAGCAGTCATGGGGACCAATTGCTGAACACTAAACAAGCCAGCCTCCACGAGATACGACTCATAATATGGATGGTGTGACTAAATGGGTCGTACCTCGAATCTGGTAAACGCGATCACCATCCTATAGTGCACAAAACTTATATTAATTCAATTTCATGCGTAATTCTAATTTCAGTTCACCTAGTAAAATCTATCTACTCTAAACTTATACTAATTTCAAAAAATTTCACATGTAATTCTAATTTCAGTGCACCTAGTAAAAATCTAAACATCTAATCTAACTAGCTAATGAACTTTAATGAAATGTTTACCTCGTTTTGACAAACTAAGTCGGCACGATGTTAATCATGTGCCCAAAGAAGGACCGAATCCACTAGAGTTGGATCAATTTTCGTAAGTGGTCGCCTCGTGGAATAAGTGTCCAAAAGCCTAGGAACTGCAAAAAAAAAAAAAAAAAAAAAAAAATAGAAACAAACAAAAAAGTTCGCCGCCAGTGAGATTCCTCACCTCGGTACCGGTCGCGTGCCTGCCGTTCTCTTCCACGGCCTCTTCCTCCGGCTCCTGCCTGTTCTTCGTCGGAGTCAGACATCAAAGAACCAGATCTGGTTTTGGCCCTTCCGTGCGAGGTTGGAGTGTTTTCGCGATAAGGTAAGCAGTTCCGCACTCCTCTCATGCGGACCTGCCTAAGAGAGAGGTTAGAAAGGAGGGACGACAAACCCACGCAAGGTTGGGGGAGAAGGTGAGTCACAGGGGCGGAAAGGGTTTTTGGTCTGAGGTGTGGTCTGTCTGCTGCGGGAGGTTGGGGAAGAAGAAATATAAAAGAGCTAAGAGAGAGGGCTGCGATAACACAGGAGACTGAAAGCGGGTTATTCTTTAAAGCGCGCCCGCACCTGACTGGCACGGGTCCGCACGAGGCTCGGTTAGATCCGCTTTTTGAATGGCTAATTTTGCAACTAGGAGTCCGTCAGGAGATCGCTACCAAATAATTGGCCAGGATTCTCCGACGGATGAAGGTAGAGAGGTGACGTGAGCGGAATGACTTAAGCATCAGTGAGGATGCCTTTACCGCCCGAACCGTCGTCTTCTCCGATAGTCATGACTGTAATCTTCGATATGGATCAATGCTCAGATACCATATAAAATAATCTAAACGCGAAAGCAAACAACACAACGATTAACGTGGTTTCCCCGTTCGATGTGAACGGGACTACTCCACAGAAAGCAAACGCTCTCGACTGTACTTTTATTATCTCGCAGCTAATGACTGCTTACTTTCTCACACGACAGACACCTACATAGTCAACCCTTACATACCCTTCTACATAGGTGTTAGGGTGACAAAGCCAGAATAACAACTCGGTCATCTAACTAAGATATATGTACAAAGTAGTTCAGTTCAATAGTTCGGAGATGCTGTGTAAGCAATTTGGCTATATTATTCACCGAAAAGAATAAAAGATTTGGCTGTATTTGTTTTTCCGTTACTGTTGGCAGCAAGCAGTGTTTTCAGACAAAGTGAAGCAGAGAGTTGAAGAAAATTGAGACCAGGGAAAAAGAAGAGAAAGGACAAAAGTAAAACGATTCATGTCAAACACCAATACACTAAAACCCATTAACGAGCCTCATTAAAAAATAATTTCTTCTGGGAAAGAGGAAATACTTACACACACAAGACGACGTCTAGAGATTGGAACGATCCTCCTCGCCATCACGCTGCTACTGCGTTGGGATCTCTCTCTCTCTAAATCCTTAATCCACCTTCCCAATTGGAAAAGTAAACACCCGACTCAACCATCATCATCACATCATCATCTCACCAGCAAAATCTCAGGTGCGTTTTGGCTTCCAGCTCTTGCGTTTTTTCCCAGTTGCCCGGCCTCCTTTACTCGATTTGACTTGCCTTGACAATCCTTGTTCAGTGTAAAAGTCAATTTTCTTCTCCTTTCCTGATTCCAGTGCGTGAATTTGATGGTTTTTAGACTGTGGAATCGAAAAGGTTTCAGGGGGTTGATTTTCTGATTTTGGGTGTTGGTTTACACTGTTCTCGTTTGGCGGTGAGGTTGTGCTTTTGGAAGTTTGGGAGTTCCTGATATGGGTTTTGCTTTGTTTTCATGCTTAGTTTGACTTGTGGGGATCATGGAATTGGTGCAGAACTGTGGCTCTGCGAGCTGAGGTTTGCTGTCCGAGATAATTGATCTTGGCTAGTTGTTCTTCGTTTGACTAGCTCAATAGAACTAAAATCTATGGTGCTGGTGTGTTTTCTTCTGGTTTCTTGCTGACAAATGGTGGAACAAATTCTGAACTGCATGTTATATTAGTGGCTTTGATTCTTAGAAGTTGTCCTGCCTAGGGTGTTTATTGTCTATGGACGATTACTGGCCTTCTCTTTTCTTGATGAATAGGAGCCTTTTGATTTCAGTGTCTGAGTGTTATTATAGGGTTACGAATAACTTGAGGGCAGTTATCTGCTAAAATTCAATTCGCACTGGAGGTCTTCTGACCAGGAGGTTTCAGAAGTCTCTCTGGGAGATTGGCCTTTCTGATAAAGTCCGTGCTTATTTTGCACTTGTTTGTGCTCCCTCTTTTCCCTTTTCACCCGTGGGCTTGCCTTGATTGCTTTTGTGCTGTGAAATTCTTATGGACCATTCTCTATTGATGGTTGTAAACCTCTGCTTATGGCTTTTCCTTAACGTTGTAGTTGGTCCTGAGTTATTTCAGGTTAGCTCTGACGAGTTTAGAGTTTATCAGTATGAGCTCCTGGGTTCATTCTTGTCTAAATGTGTACCTGGTCTGGGTTCTATGTCATGTAAACTGCAACTCATTTCTTGGTCTTTTTTCATCTACTTGAGCAAGATGTTCATATCCTCCTACCTTGTTTTAACTAGGGATGAGAAGGAACAAGCGGGATGCCGAGTTTTGATCCACAGTTACCTGTGAATCATGCACAGTAAAGCTTCTCTTTCTGTTCTCTTTTCATTGATTTGTACTGATCTTCCTTCAACTTCATATTTATTTTTGTTGAGACTATTTTGTCTTATCATCTTATGTGCTTGATAGATATAAACGGACACTTGAAACTTACGCTTTCATAGGTACTTGGAAATTCAGAGTTCATCATCCTAATCTCTTTCATTCAGAAATCCATATGTCTCTGTCTGCTTCTCTATTTTACCTTTAATGCATTTAGCTTTCATGTATGTCCTCAGACAATGGAAACGAAGTATAAAGAAGTACTCAGTCCGATAAGTGATAAGATATACTCATCATTCTTACATTATTTCTATTTCTGGGATGACCAATTTTTTGGGTGAATGAAAGTGTGTAGAAAATTGCTCGTCTTTTAACCAATCAAAATCTTTATCTTTATCATTGCATGACCATCGGCAACATTAACAAAATTTCCGAATTGTTTTCAAATATGTGCTCTTGCCTCTTTTTTGCTTCATAACTAAAAATAAGAAAGCCACGGGAGAAGTTGAATGTATTTGCTTATGTTTTTGCCTAATAACTTTTTGATTTTACTTAGTCCTTGATGCCCTTGCTGATGTACTTTGAATTTTTGCTAAGTTGTTTCTAACTAATTTTCTTGATGATTCTTTGTTTCAGTTCTTTAGAGGGCAGGCCTGCCAACTCTTATATTGTTTCTGATTTTGGGGTATTTGATCAATCTTTTCCATTTCGCTTAGCGAATGCCATTGATCTGACTGCAAGTAAGTACTGGCCAATATCAGAGGCTGAATGTGCATTTCTTCATTGCTACCTTCTATGCTTGCCATTTGATGAATTAAGAAGTCAATCCGAATCTGTGCTATTCACTTGACCCTTAAGTGGTTTGACGCTCATTCCACCTTCTAACCTATATAATATCTGGAATGCAGGCACAGTTTCCAATCTAGTGAAAGGCAGTACCGGAATTGCGTCTGTTGATAAGGTAAAATGCTGCAGTCAGTTTGGCCACAACTTGGTTGTACAACTGTTGTTTATCATGGTATAATTTTCTATACCACTACCTTCGTCCAGTACTGATTCTTCCCTTACTTAGGTAGAGTCTCAGAGGAGATTGTTGGAGGAAGAAGGTCAACGATCGAGCGAAGTTTCTGTGTCTAGTGTTAACACTGAGAATTCAGCAGAATCTGAAATGGCGGATACTAGTCCCCGGACAGACTCGGGGGATGCTGACACAGATGAGAAAAGTCAGAGGGTGATGTTTTTCTTCCACCCTTTTATAAATATGTTTGCAATATTTACATGGACCCAGATATGGCTTCCAGTTGATTCTCACACAGAAAGATCCATGATTGACAGTTTTTCTTTTGTGCAGTTTGATAGAGCCCTTTCGACAAACCTTGCCGCTTCTGATTCCAGTGATAGATCAAAAGATAAAATGGATCAAAAGGTAAAAAAAAAAAATATGGGAGAGGTTTGGTGGGGGGTTACATAATTAGCTGTTATGGATTTAAACCAGTTCAGTGCTTCTGAATGATTCTTTTGTGATAATATTCTCCAGACACTACGCAGACTTGCTCAAAATCGAGAAGCTGCAAGAAAAAGCCGGCTTAGGAAGAAAGTAAGGACCCTTTCTTACGGCATATGAAAACATTGCAACTCTTATATTTTGGACTGGTTTAATGTGTTGCTTTGCAAGGTGTATTCTACAAGTTTTCATCCATGATTTGACTACATGATATTTACTCTGTTCCCTCTCAAGTCATCACGTGGTACAATTCTGTTATGAGTTAGAGATCATGAAAGGTGTGAAACTTGGTTGACTTAGAAAACGCGGAGGATTAATATGGTCCATATCTTCTTTATTAAGGTGTATTTTGCAAGATTAGAACTCTGAATCACTATACTGATGTGTCAAATATTTCCTAGATAATATTACCCACTAGATGGAATGGAAGGCATCAAGTGGTGGTCTTTGTTCTTGTAGTTTGCGTATGAGGAAATTGTAGAATGGCTAAGGCTTGTTGTTTCATTTTTAATAGTCCTTAAGCATATTCGGAATCAGAAATACTTCTGCAAATGTAGATTGAAGTGCTATCTTTCTGTGAAAGTGGTATCATACCCCTGGCTTCCGTGCATCCAATGTAATAAAGTTGGTACTAGTATCGACCCATGCAACTCTTACTGCAGAAGGTATTTTCCTGATCTTCTATTTTTTTGCCAACAGGCATATGTGCAACAGCTGGAAAGTAGCCGCTTGAAGTTGACCCAATTAGAACAGGAGCTTCAAAGAGCGCGTCAACAGGTTTGTGTGCCCAATATTTGTTCCATTATCATGTTTTGAACATTGGTGGTAAACATCTTTCATCTGGCCTTCTCCAGGGGATCTTTATTTCAAGCTCAGGAGATCAAGCTCATTCAATGGGTGGAAACGGTAATTCTAAAATACTTCCCCCGGAATACAGAAATTACATATACAAGATACTCTTTCTGAGTTCCAAAAGTTAAGTGTTGTAAGTGGTGTTATGCTGGTTAAAAAGGAATTACTGACATGTAAATGAAGAGCAGGTTGCAATGGAGAGGGGGAGCATTATGGGTGAGGGAAAGTTGGGAGAGAAGGAAAGAACGGAAGAGGGGCGAGTGGGGCTGGGTAGGTGCTAGGGAGGAGAAGGCAGGTAGGCATGGGTTTGTTGGGTACATGCCAAAAGTTGATATGTCCTCTAACTTCTCTTATTAATTTTGAGTTTGACCTTCTTTCTTAGTTTGACTGTCGGCTGGAGGGTGTGTTTAAGTCGATATAGAAGTCCCAAAAACAGGGCTTGGATTAGTATTTAGCAGAATTGCTGCCTGCTGATTGAAAGAGACTTGCAATGTTCTCTGATGATCAGCCTTTCATTCTACCCTTAATGTGCGCTTCTGGGAAATGTATAATTTTAGAATGTGTTTATGATGTATTTTGGAAGTACGCAATTCTCTACATTTTCTTAGGTACATTACAATGTATTTTGGTGCCTGTTGCAGGGGCCATGGCATTTGACGTAGAGTATGCACGATGGCTGGAAGAGCAAAATCGACAAATAAATGAGCTGCGAGCAGCAGTAAACTCTCATGCTGGAGATACAGAACTTCGCATTATCATCGATGGTATAATGGCTCACTATGATGAAATTTTTAGGCTGAAGAGCAATGCAGCCAAGGCTGATGTTTTCCATTTGCTGTCTGGCATGTGGAAGACGCCTGCTGAGAGGTGTTTTCTGTGGCTTGGCGGGTTCCGTTCATCTGAACTCCTAAAGGTGATAATTGCTTTCTTGTTGTTCATGCTCAAAATCACCCCTTGAAACTCTTTCTCCCCGCTTCTTCTACCAGCTGTGTATGTGGTGGTTCTGAATGGCTATAGTACTGCAGCTGTTAGTGAATCAATTGGAGCCTTTGACAGAGCAACAGTTGGTAGGAATTACCAACTTGCAGCAATCTTCCCAACAGGCTGAAGACGCTTTATCACAGGGGATGGAGGCATTGCAGCAATCCCTGGCTGAAACATTGTCCAGCGGTTCTCTAGGCTCCTCTGGTACATCTGGAAATGTGGCGAACTACATGGGTCAGATGGCCATGGCCATGGGAAAGCTTGGGACCCTCGAGGGGTTCATTCGCCAGGTAAATGCATTGCCATTACATCTTCACCTTTAGTCTTTAAATGTCTTGTCTCATTTCAGTTTCATGACTAGCCTTTGGTATTTTGGAAACACTCAGGCTGACAACTTACGGCAGCAGACGCTACAGCAGATGCACAGAATATTAACAACCCGCCAGTCGGCCAGGGCACTGCTGGCCATCCATGATTACTTTTCTCGATTACGAGCTCTTAGTTCCCTTTGGCTTGCCAGACCAAGAGAATAGATGAATCTGGTTACTTCGAAATGGTATACATCTTCAAGAGCGAAGCTGGAACAACATTGAGGGAGTAAATTGATGAATGATACGATGGAGCATGGGGTTTTTCTGGGGCGTTTGTTGTAATTCTTTCTTCTTCCCTTCCATCTTGTTTCTTGTGATAAATGTCTCTCCTCTCCTCGATACACCATTTAGCCTTTTCTGATTTGTTTATACGATAGACTTGGTATCCTATCAAACATAGTCACTTGATAGAGTTGTCCAAAGAGTAGAAAGAGAATTGTTTGTTTGTAGCCATGCCAATTTGTTAAGATGTACGATTTTTCAATTTCCTGTACGTTGATAAATTTTTTGGTTCGTGCTCTCTTATTGTTCATTAGGGTTGTTCAAATGGTTACCGTGGTAATAACCAAACCAATTAAGCTTAAATTTCATTAACCATGGAATAAAATGTCTTAACCAAACCATTCAAATTAACACGAAAACCAAATTAACCAAATCAAAGTTTAATTGGTTTGGTTAATCGGATACTCGGATAAACCAAATAGCATAACATTACATGAAAACAAACAAACTATCATTTTATATAAGCAATAATAATAAGACTAACCATCCATAATTATCATCATCATTCGAGTTAATACGTCATTCCTCATCTCTGCACCTAATATAGGTAGCTTAGAACAAACCCCTTAACATAAATACATACCAATACCCCTCATCAGGAAGTTAAAGCTCTCCTACAAGACACTTAAACTATACATAGTTTAAGGTGGTTGTCATGGTATTTTACGTAATCCTAAACTCTAGGAGTTGTCCAAAATGTTTTGGCTTATTAAATATAGGTAGACCCATTTAATTTTTGATCCATAATGTTTTGGTTTGTTGTGCACATGAAAATAAAATAAGGAATCACGAAAGTTTGGTTTGGTTGGTTGCATGGAAGTATAAATAATTTTGTATATTATGTGTATCATTAATTGGTTAATTGGTTTCATTGGTTAGCAGTGTTGAAACCAAACCAAACCACCTAAACCAAATAAGCTAAATTGTTTAACCAAACCACACCAATTACCAAATTAACCAAACCAAATTAACCGAATTACCGGTTAATATGGTTACCACGGTAACCAATCCGTTTGAACACCCCTATTGTTCATGAAAATCTGTAGTTGAATGTATAACGAAATCCGTTTACCACAAACCTATTTACTTTGTAGAAAATAGTTACAATCCTTTAATTTTGCACGTTTCGATAATAAAGGTTTGAGTGTATAACGAAATGGTAAATCCGTCCAATTCCATTCCAAATTCCGTCCTAGATCGCCCCGTTTGCATGACAGGTTAGAGTAAACATTAATTAAAAAAATAGTTAATCAGCCCACTTAACCCGACATTCCAACCGGTCGAAACAAACCCTTTACCATCACCCAATTGGCACCTGACGCGATCCTTAATTTCCCCTGTTTCGGGCCAAATCTTAGCTAAACCCTCGCTCTCCAATCTCTTGCCGCACTCGTTGATTTCCTTCAGACGAACTGCGGCGTGTCGGTACAAGCCTCCAACTCTAGCTCAGGCAACAATAACTCGTACGAGGGCAAGAATGGCGCAAAGGCGTTGGAGTTGAATGTGGGGGATGAAGCTGTTCCCGTTGCCTGCGATGTGCTCTGTAATGATTGGAATCGAGAATGTTACATGCTCACCAAGGAAGGATTCGCTTCCAACTAGGGATTTGAACGAGTTCGATTCTCTTTTATTTGCTATTATATTTCCGTTGGAGAGGGAGGAGATGGCGGCGATGGTATTGACAATGTAGCCAAAATCGTGCTTTAAAATTTACGTTTTTACGTTTGTAGGTCACTAAAACGTTTTTACACAGAATCTCAGTTTTTATAGCTTGTGTAGTTAAAAACTCCGCTTTAAAACTTAAAAACTTACGATTTTACGCTTCTAGATCACCAAAACATTTTTACGTAGAAACTCGCTTTTGAGTACATTGAGAATTGATGAACGCGATGGGGAGGCAGTGCTGGAGTCGCCGCAACTGATGGGGTGGGTAAATTAAGGTTTTCAGTTGGGTTATCAGTTCAATTGGGTTTGCTCATTTATTTTTTATTAATATTTTTAAATGACGAGACGTGCCGACTAGACAAAAGTAACGGTTTTTTTGGATGGAGATGGACAGATTTACCATTTCGTTTTTCTCTTAAACCTTTATTTCCGAAACGTGCAAAATTAAAAGTTTGTGACCATTTTGTACAAAGTGAATAGTTTTGTGACCATCTATGATAATTACCCAGGTCATCTGAATTGAGTTTCGGTCGTGCGGTCGTCGCGAATTTTCGGTATCCAGAAGGTAAGCGGAAATCATGGAGGTGAGATATTATAAGTTTGGTAATTATAATTTATGTTTTATTTATTTTAATTTATTTTGAAAAAGAGGTGGAAATTGAAAAATATAAATTTTTATTATTTTTTAATCGCCATGTCATTTATTTAACAGTCAATTATGAAATTTGACTTCACATCATCAAAAGTTAATGGAGTTTGAAGGTCCTTGACCAAACTTGAACTATTGAACTAATTTTCGTGACCACGAATGAAATTAAATATTTCTAATGACCAAATATGAACCTTTTTAATAATTCCAGTGACCAAACGTGTCATTACCCCTTATTTTTTTGTGATGAACCGACTTGATTTTTTTAATCAGTGGTTGATGTGGGTTTGAGAGTGTATCTCAACCGTCTCCTTCTTGGTGCTAGTCAATGGAGCTCCTCATGGATACTTCCATCCACAGTGTGGTTAAGTAAGGGATCCCTTACCACCTATCCTTTTTGCTATTTATACTAAAGGTTTTTCAGCATTATTAAACCAAGCAGTGCAAACTAATTTCATTCTTGGACTCAAGATTCATAGATGATGTCTGGTAATTTCTCATCTCGTCTTTGCAAATGATTCATATCTCTTCCTTCGTGCCTCTATTCTGGAATTCCAAAATCTCCTAGCTTTACTTTTCACATATCAGCAAGTTAGTGGACAGAAGATTAATCTTCAGAAATCTACGACCTCTTTCAGTACTTAGGGATTGCAATTTGGATCCGACCTGTTGGATTTTTCTCGATACGACCTGTAATGGGGCGGATCATGCCTTGACACGTGCACATAGTAGGGGGGACATGGATATCACATCTTACCCGCCCTAGCTCTGATCCGCTTCTCCCCCGCCGTTCCTTTTCCTAGTAATTAATTACGCTATGATCGGGCATTATAGGTGTCAAAACAGAACCAGATCCGACTAACCCGCTCAACTAACCCGACCAGCAACCCGACCACAACCCAAATTGACTAAAAGTCAATGACCCGCAACCTGCCCGACCTGCAATTCGATTGACCCGTAATCGATTAACGCGTAACCCGAATAACCTACCACCCGATTAACCCAACATCAATTAACCCGCAACCCGATTAAATCCGTAACGATTGACCCGAACCTGATTGGCCCGAACCCTACTAACCCGTAACCCTCCTGATTGACCCGAATAACTACTGTATTATATATTATATAAAATTTCAAAATGAAGTTTGTTTGTTGTAAGACTAAATAAATCTATTTTTTTCATTTTATAAAGCAAAGTTCAAAAAATATTATTGAGTTGAAAGTATGTATTTTTAATAAAAGAAAGAAGAGAAAGAAATAAGGGGGAGTTTTGATGCTATGGTTTATAGGAAGCGAAATAAGTGGGAAATTTTTGTGTTTTCAACTTTTTGGGGAAAAAAGAAGAGAGAAATATGGTTCTTAAATTTTGAAACGTCCCGACACTTTTAACCAAACCGAAATAACCATGGCTCCGGAGCCGACTTAAAACATCCTAAAAAATTTCATTAAAACAAATAGGGCTAATACCACTACAACACCCGAACTATCAGAAAATGTCATATGTATCCTATTTTATTCAATATTCCATTCATGTCCCGTCGTATGATACTTTGTGTCATTAATATCCTAACATTTTTGTTGACCGCTATAGATAACAGTTGACCAGACGGAGGTCAAACCATTGTTGCCTTTTGCTGACGTGGCAAAAATATAATTGCCACAAAAATGCCACATCATTTGACACATAATTTTTTTAATTTAAAATTAAATTAATAAAATTTTTTGGAAAAAGCTAATCACCCCAACCCCCTTCTTCGCTGTTGAAATCACATACTTCCCATCGATAATATCATCGATAGAAGGAGGGTTAGGAGAACCCAGAAAATTTCCATTGTTTGCTCTTCGTCTCTTTCGAATAGAGAACCCTAAAAATTCATTGTTTGTCCCACCTCCTTCTCTTTGTCACTTTCGAGTTTCGAAGGAACCGAAAATTTCATATCAACAATGACCCATAAAAGTTCAGTCAACTTCTTCATCTCCACCACCATGTCGATCTCTGAATCTAGCATCGCCACATCAATCTACAGATGCGCCCAATTCACTTGATGGGAGTGGAAATCCCTTGTTGGGGCTGACAATGGGTGAGACTTCGATGATGCGATGATTGTTTGGGACAGCAGCGACAATGTTGAGAAACAGAGGAGGCCGGCGGAGAGTGAAGCAGGCCAATTATCTCCTCAGATCTATTGCAAGAAGGCTGCTAGCAATGCATTTAGTTGTCCAAGGAGGAAACGACGAGGACTTAAATGTATATAATGTATAGTGTATAGGTTAATTTGTAAGATACATTTAATTAGTGTATTGTATAGGATTTTAGTTTATTATATATATGAGATATGTAATGGGATAATGTAATTTTTCTCTTCTGATGAATGAAATCTGCCTATCGGCTTTACTAAACGACATGGTATCAGAGGTGTAATCCACCTTTCTTGCTTTCTTTGATTTTTTGCCATTTCCTTTTCGTCTTCACGAGGGTTCCAGGAGAAGGGAACATCTCGTTCCAGTTTCTCTTTCCTCTGCTTCTCGATCTTTCTTCGATCATTTCGATCCAGTTTTCCGCTCACTCTGTTCTTTGATTCGTTCGTCTTTCTATGATGATTGCCGATTCGTTCGTTTCTCAGCGACGATCGTGAGTCTTGATTCCGATTGCTCAGTTTCTTTTCCAGTCGATTCATCAGCCGCTTCAGATCTAGATCGATGGCGTCCTTCTCAGCTGTTAATGCGACGTTTGGTCCACCGCCTTCTGGAGCTGCGTCTGGCGGTGTTCCTCCGGTTACTGCGATCCCTAGCAGTGTTCCTCCGGTTAGCGCGATGTCTGGTGGATCTGCGTCCATCGGTGCTACACTGTCGCCGGCGCATCCATTCTTTGTGGCCAACGACGATCTTTCTGCTCAGCAATTTGTTATAGTGCTGCTTTCTGGTTCCAACTATCACAGCTGGGGGCGATCAATGCGCATGGGGTTACATGCAAGAAACAAGCTCCCGTTAATCGATTCTCCTTCATCGGTCCCGTCGCCAGATGTTCCTCTCTGGAGTGCTTGGGATCAGGCTAATGTTCTCGTGCTAGGATGGATTCAGCGGTCTGTTGCTCCTGAGATTGCACAGAGTATTCTGTGGTTTAATACAGCGGTAGAAGCCTGGGAGGATCTTCGCGAACGTTTCAGTGAAGGAAATGAGATTCGTATCTCGGATCTCTATGATGAAATCGCGGCTCTAAAGCAAGGTTCGCTGTCTATTAGCTCTTACTTTACCAAATTTCGTGTGCTGTGGGAAGAGTTTTTGATTCTGCGACCTCTCCCTGTTTGCTCCTGCAATCCTAAGTGTATGTGTGATGCTTCATCGATTCCGCGAGGATATATGCGTAGGGATCAGGTTATTCGTTTTCTAAAGGGGCTGAATGAGAGCTTTGGTCACATTAAGTCACAGTTGTTGATGATGGATCCACTGCCTTCCATCAACAAGGTTTTTTCTAACCTAGCACAGCATGAACGGCAGTCTGTTAATCCGTCCTTACTCCCTACTGCCCTAGCTGCTCATACTCATGGAGCTTTAAAGGGACAACATTCTAGCCAAGGAGGTTCTTCCAAGGGTCAGACTTCTAATGCTTCAGGACAAGGTGGGGGTAAGAAGCGACCTTATTGCACTCACTGTGAAGGTTATGGGCATACGGTGGATCGGTGCTATAAACTTCATGGGTATCCACCTGGATACAAGCATCGCCGTGTTAATGCTGCTGTGACAGAGGTTGATCAACTTCATTCTACTGAAGGAGTTGTTGGCAATGAATCTGTGGTGCTTACTAGAGCCCAACATCAGTCCTTACTACATCAGATGCAATCTCCGCAAGTTCAGCATCTTCCTGCTACTCCTGCAGTCAACCTGGTCACGTCTACAAGACAAATGACTCCTACACCAGCTGCTCCTGCTTCTATTCCATCAGCTGCTGCTCCTGTCACTCTTCCATCAACTGATGATTCTTCCTATATCCCTCAACCACTTGGGGACAATGATATTACCACAGAAGATACATGTACCATCCTATCATCTTCAAACTTAGCTTTGAATTCTATGGATTGGATAGTGGATAGTGGGGCAACTGATCATGTTGTGTCGGTTCTACACTTATTTTAGACTTATAGAACAATAAACAACATGTCAGTATCATTACCAAATGGTGTTAAAGTTAGAGTTACCCACATAGGAACTATTCAAATCACTCCTATGCTTACTTTACATGATGTATTATACATTCCAGCGTTTTCTTTCAATCTCATTTCAGTGTCTAAACTAGTAAAATCTTCAAAGTGCGTCTTAAAATTTACTGCCGATTCTTGCTTAATTCAGGATCTTTCGTCCCACGAAACGATTGGTACAGCTAAACAAGAATTTGGCCTCTATCATCTCAACATAGCATCGTCTGTATATCATTCATCCTCCTGTAATGTTTGTTTCAATGCCACTTATGTTCCTTTTGATATCTGGCATTACAGACTGGGTCACACTTCCATTCCACTCTCTCATATTTTAGATGATACAATCAGACCAGCTGTTTGTCATAATAAAACACCTTGTACTATCTGTCCGTTAGCTAAACAGAAGCGTCTCCCTTTTCCTTCGAGTACTTCTCATGCTTCTGTTCCTTTTGAGTTACTTCATATCGATATTTGGGGACCATATCAGGTTCCCACTGTTGATGGCTTTAGATACTTTCTCACTTGTGTCGATGATTTCTCAAGACATACTTGGATTTATCTAATGAAAACAAAAGGTGAAGCTAGGCAAATTCTATTAGATCTGCCGGCTTTCGTTAATACTCAGTTTTCTTCAAAAATCAAAATAATCCGAACTGATAATGGCCAAGAATTTAATGTTCCATCTTTCTACAATACGTTTGGTATTATACATCAAACAACTTGCGTTGCTTCATCTCAACAAAATGGTCGTGTTGAGAGGAAACACCAACATATATTGGCTGTTGCTCGTGCTCTCATGTTCCAAGCATCATTACCAATCTCTTTTTGGGGTTTTGCTATTTTACATTATGTATTCTTGATAAGCAGAATGCCATCTCCACTTTTACAAAATCTTTCTCCTTATGAATTGCTTTTCAAAGCTAAACCTGCTTATAGTGAATTCAAGTTTTTGGTTGCCTTGTCTTTGCTTCAACATTGCAACATAACAGACCTAAATTTGCTCCTAGAGCTGACCCTTGTGTTTTCTTAGGTGTGCTCAGCACTGTCAAAGGGTTTAGACTTTATAATCTCGTTTCTCATAACATCTTTTATTCACGAGATACTGTATTCCATGAACATGTCTTTCCATTTGCTAATTCTACATCCACACCTGAGTTTGATTTTTTTTTTCCTTGTATTCAAGTTCAGGAAACAGTAACTCATCATAGTATAACTGATTCTTTTTCCCGGCTTCAATATATTTCTTCTTTGCCTCATTCTGAGGAGGCTTTAGATTCCTCAGATATTCTTCCACCCGATGAGCCTCTAGATCTGGTTGATATCATTCAAGCAGTTGAACAACCTCCTTATGTGAGGCCTTCTCGTGTTAAAGTACGTCCTAAGAAGTTAAATGATTACATATGTGCTGTAAAGTGTACTGATGTTACTTTTCCTTTATCTAAAGTGACGACATTTGATAATTTGAGTCCAGAATACAAGAAGTATATTCTGGCCAGTTCTGCTATTCTAGAACCTAGATCATATAAAGAGGCCATTAAGGATCCTAGGTGGTCACAAGCTTGCAATTCTGAGTTAGCTTCTTTGGACAAAAATAATACATGGACTATTGTTGAATTGCCTATTGGTAAAATTGCTATAGGAAATATGTGGGTTTTCAAAATCAAATTTCTTGCCAATGGTGACATAGAGCGTTTTAAATCTCGACTAGTATCAAAGGGATACACTCAAACTCCTGGCTTGGACTATTTAGAAACTTTTGCACCAGTCGTCAAACACACTACTGTTAGACTTGTTTTGTCTTTAGCTGCTATTAATAACTGGCATTTACATCAGCTTGATGTTAATACAACATTTTTACATGGAGACCTTGATGAAGAGGTCAACATGAAGATTCCTCCGGGCTTAGTTGTGCCTCCTGGTTTTAAGAATCCAGTTTGTCGTCTTAACAAATCTATCTATGGTTTAAAACAAGCAAGTCGTCAATGGAACATCAAACTTTCTAAGTTTTTAACTTCAGCTGGGTACAAACAGTCCAAAGCAGACTACTCAATGTTTGTTCGAAGTCATGAGCAGTCTTTTAAAAGGCACTGCAGGTCAAGGACTTTTCTCTTCTGTTGAATCTGAACTAAAATTAAAAGCTTTTTGTGATAGTGACTGGGCTGGTTGCCCTGATACGCGTCGCTCTACTACAGGATTTTGTGTTCTATTGGGCAATTCCTTGATAAGTTGGCGTTCAAAGAAACAGAATATTATTTCTCGCTCATCAGCTGAAGCTGAATATAGGGCAATGGCTAGCTTAACTTGTGAATTAATGTGGCTTAGATATGTGTTAAATGATCTGCAGATCTGTCTATGTTTGCCTACTCCCATATTTTGTGATAGTATGTCTGCTATTAAGCTTGCCGATAACCCCGTGAATCATGAACGCACCAAACATATAGAGATTGATTGTCATGTCATTAGGGATAAGATTTTAGATGGGGTGATCAAAGTTCTTCACGTTTCTTCTGCTAACCAACTTGCTGACATGTTTACAAAGGCTCTTCCAGTTCATGTTTTCCAACAGTTGCAGGCCAAGTTGGGTCGTCTTGATATATACGCAACAGCTTGCGGGGGGGGGGGGGGGGGGGGGGGGGGGGGGAGTTGTCCAAGGAGGAAACGACGATGACTTAAATGTATATAATGTATAGTGTATAGGTTAATTTGTAAGATACATTTAATGAGTGTATTGTATAGGATTTTAGTTTATTATATATATGAGATATGTAATGGGATAATGTAATTTTTCTCTTCTGATGAATGAAATCTGCCTATCGGCTTTACTAAACGACACATTTCGATCTCTTATATTCTTTATATTCCAATTCATTCACTGTTCCTCAAGCCGCCGCTGACGAGCCCACCTCTAACCCTAATCCGGATCTGAACCAAACCTAATCCGGAATCCTTTACTTTCGACTCACGATCACCCTCCAGTCTCCGGGTGTGATTTTGGGCTTGTAGTGAGAGTGGGGTTTGACAAGTGGGGAGAGTGTGGTGGGATGGAAATGATTTCTATTTACTGAACACTGAGGAGATGAAGTAAGGTCTTGATGATGGTGATGATGTCGGCAAAAATGGAGGAGGCAGTATTCGACTGAGCTGGGAAGAAATTGGGGAGCGATGGTGGGAAGGAGATGACTTTGTTTGCTTGGGAGGTTTTATTAATTTAATTATTTCCTTAGGTGATGTTAAAACTAAACATGTGAGATTAATTCGGGTAGATGAGTTGGGATTTTTTTAACTATTTCAAAATTCCACGTCAGATGCCACGTCAACGCTGATTGGATCTTCTGTTAAATACTAAAGGTTAACGCCGGTCAATACTAACGAAATAATTGTATTGGAAATAAATGGAATATTGAATAGTTTAGGACACAAGTGGCATTTATTCGATAGTTCGGGCGTTGTAGTGGTATTAGCCGTCCAGTCCATGCCCGGTCAACTACTGCGTTACGTCTCGCCATCCAGTAGTGACCCCAAGATACACGATCACCTGCTACGTTACGTCTCGCCGTCCAGCAGTGGCCCAACCGCCCGGGGGTTCATCTTACATACAAACGTACATCACATACATAGCACAACGCGTGCCTCCACCTTCAATAGGCGGTGGGATGCCTCCAAACATAATCGGGCAAACTCATAAATTAACTAACATAACTTGAAATTAACGACATAAACTAAAAGACCTCGACGGAGATTTTACCCCCTTTACACTCACCTTGACTCCGTAGAAATCGACTCGCACGGAGCTACACCACAAATTAATCGCGACTAGAGCCCAAGTTTTTAAACTCTAGCCGGGTGCAGTATAGGGCAAGTATTTAATTGTCAAACCCGGGCCGGTCCATGTACTACTACTTCAATCGCTTAAGTTGTTATCTAGAAAAACAGTTTTGGTTTAAAACTAAGAAAACTACAACGTAAACAAGCAAGGAAAGTATATGGAGGAAAATTCTACTTGAGAGAGCTTCACCCGGGTATTGTTCCCCCTAGTCTCATGCTAAGAAGCGACAAACAAAGCTCTAGTGTGAAGGACATGTTCATACCCCACTAGGTGGGCGCAATTAGTTAGGGACAAACTCTCTTAGTTGATCAAAGAAGGGAAATCAACAAATATAATATAGGGGAACTAGCTCTTTTAACCGTTAGGTCAAGGATTGTGATTCATAGCTAGAGAGTCTAGCCTCTTTATCGATCAACCTAGGAGATCCCTAACTCTCTCTTAGTTAGCTAATTGAGAGTCATTGCAACAAGTTAGGAAGCTAACTCACTTAACCTTTCGGCTAAGGGTGACAACGATAGGTTAGGGAACCTAACCCTCTCAACTAGCCGTCTAAGGATTGCAAACCAAACCCTCAGAACTTAATCCGGTCGGCAGAGAGACCTATCTTGGTGGAATCACGGCTCTACTCCGATTTTTGAGATTTTGGTCTTAAATTGACCTAAAGGAGGTTACCCAAGTAGCTAAGGAGTCTTGCTCCTAATTATACCCTCTAGGTTAATTTCACCCAATATTGAGTTAAACCTAGCACACTCAATCATTCATGAATAATAACTCAAATAACATATAAAACACTCAATCAACACAATAGGTTCACGTTCTTACATCATAACACATAGAGAGACTAGGGTTCACAATACCCAAGTGGGTAGGTAGGCTATTCCATAGCTAAACAAGAGAAAACAACAAAAAGGGAAGAAATAACCATGAAGTGATGTCAATCTTTCCTCCTTGTTGCTTGAGACACCCTTGAGATGAAGAAATATTCAATAATCTAGCTAGGAACAAGCCCAAAGCTCCTTCTTCCTCCTTCAATTTGCACTTTCTCCCTCTAGAAGAAACCCCTCTCACTAGAATCCTCTTTATTCAGAAAATAAAAACTGACTCGCACAAAACTACACCGCAAATTAATCCCGACTAGAGCCCAAGTTTTTAAACTCTAGACGGGTGTAGTATAGAGCAAGTATTTAAATTGTCAACCTGGGTCGATCCATGTACCCCTACTTCAATCACTTAGGTTGTTATCTAGCAAACAACTTTTGGGTTTAGAGCTAATGAAACTACAAACTAAAC